GATGATAAAACTCAGGACTCTCGTGAAACTCATAAGCTCATAAAACATATAGAAGTCTTCTCTCTGGGATTTTCAAAGGCTATTCTCCTATTTTACCTTTTCCCCCCACTTCCCTCTGTCTCTTCAATCTATCATAGATAGCTTCAAGTAACTGGTGGTGGTTGCTGGGATACGGTTACCAGCCTCTGAAATCACAAATATGAATACTTACTTTATTTCTATAGCATTAACTTTTCATCATTTTAGTATATTACATTTATATGAGCCCATTAAGCACATGGATCTACATGACAATTGAAGTTGAGGTGCTTTACCTACATTTTGAGATACAAATATTTCTACATGAATAGTGTATTTCAAAAAGTAAAATGGCAATGTCCTATTATGTGGGCCTCACAGTCATTCAATATTAAGAGTCTATGAGTGAGGAAGCAAATGAACATGACACGTTGATACTCTCACAAGTGCAGAGGAAGTACAAAAGCTTCCTAATGAATATGCCAGATGAGGAAAGGCTCAGTGTGGGATAAAGTGTGCTCTGATGGCCTCAGGCGATTGAATGGGAATTAGTGGTGTGGGAACAGTCAAGTCCCAAGAAGTTACTATGTTCTGGGAAGGTAACTATGTGATAAAAAGCAAATCAGATAAACAAAACAGCTCTAAGGACATGAACTAATGAAAGACAATTACAAGACTAAACAGTATGAGGGAGAGACTATGTCTGCATGCCCACCATTACCCTTCCAGCATGAATCATTGGGCCAAAAGCCACAGGAAGCCCTAATTTACCTTTGATGAATGAAAGAGTATATGGATAAAAAAGCATCCTTTGCTGAGGATCAGCAAAATAAATTCTCCACTAGTTGGAAGAGATTTTTTCCCCCTTTCAGTGTTAGTGTCACTAGAACTACCAAGGAAATAAATGCCAACATTCAGAAATCTGCTAAGGCAGTAAAGGGGCAATAGAAATATACCGCGTGCTCAATACGGTGCAGATGGAGAGCCATATGGGGACAAAAAGAAAATGATAATGGTTATCCAAAGAACACGTGGGAACCGTCAAAGAGATCCTGCCATCATAAAGCAGGGACTTGGGAATGAAGATCTGGGATTGTGGTGACACAACCGAGGGCCAATGGTTCTTCTTAGTGAGAGGTGTAAACACAAATTCTTGCATCTCAGCCTTGTGTGTCCTGAGAGGCAAGTACATACATATTTAATTCAGTTAAAAATGACTTCCAATTGGCAGATGTTAGGATATTAGCTTCAGAACAGAGAAGTATTAAAATATTCTCTAAATATATCAATATGTTGAGCCGTCTGTGGGCTTTAAAACTGTATTGTGTATCCCCTTATGGAACTGTGCAGGCGATATGTTAGGTAGGAGAAGCAAAAACACAAAACCATATGTACACGCTGCATTTACAGCTATGTAAAACTGTGCAGTTATAAGATTTTAGAGAGAAAAAGACCATATGATCATTGACAGAGATATAAATATTTGGCAATTTAGAGTTTACAGGATATTTGCTCTGTAAATTTCTAGGCTATAAACTTCATTATGGAGAAAGTGGTTGCTCCATCTAGTCACATGATGTATCAAATGATGTCCCCTGATGGGGGTGTTCTGTGTGCTACACCCATAGAACAAACCAAGGCTGTAATATAGGTTCTGAAGTCTGTAGTGGGTTTTGTAGGACTCCAGCACTGACAATAAAAAGCTCTGCCAGCAGGCATACAGAGTGAAACCTCAGCGTTAACAAGCTTTAGAATGAGTTCCCTGAGAAGAACCTTATTGTCTTCTGGTTTAGATTATAGGAAGTCAACTGTCAACCAGACAGACCCTGAAGCTCAATTTTGCAATATGGTTAATTAGCTAGACTGTATCACATTAATAATTTCTTGCATTTCATTTAAGGCTCACTGAAGTTTATCTTTCTCCTGATGGTCATCTTCTTTATAATAAAAGAATGGGAGAAGCTTCTGAGTTTCTTCCTAGTGGAAAGGAAATGAAAAGGCTAAAGCAGAAACACAGTTAGCAGTGGTACTTTGCATATTTTGTACTTTCTGTAAACACATGTTTTGTTAGCTGGCCAAACAGCAACTGCCTGAGTCATACAAGGAATGTAATTGCTCAAAGCCTTGATGAAAAATAAAATCCAGCTATTGTCTTGCAGACACTCCTCAGAAGCTTTGCACAGGCACAGTCTTGATGCCTTTGTTATTCCTCATCTGACTCTTGGTCCAATAGCCCTGAACTCTTCTCTCCTCTGTCCCCTCACAGAGGGCTCAGGGCAGGAAGAAGGAGGCTGGAAGGTGGGGCAAGCACAGTATTTGTTCTGGACACTTCTCCAAGTCTGTCTAAAAACTTCAGGTCTTGACATACTCTGGATATCCATACTTTTGACAGATATTTCCTGCTTGAAAAAAAGAGCATAGTAATTTATAGCTACCTGCCACTGTTAGATTCAATTTCACTTGTTACTAATCTGGCCAGTCATTTTGGACAGCACAGTCAGAATTTGGCATCCAAAGAAGAGAGAGGTCCCTGCTCCATTTCCTGTCATAATGCTCAGTTTGTGCTTCAGTTAGGGGAAGGGGAGAGAGGGATCCAAGAAAGAGTCAAAATAGACAGGAATGCCAGTGACCTCTTTACTCGGCATGATTTTCATCACTTGCTCCAACAGTCCTTGTCTTTCAGTTAAGAGTGAAAGGCGTGAAAAGTAAGTCACAGCCTCTTAGCCACCAAATCCCATGTGATTCTGAGACACTGTAATCCCTCCTTACAAGCAGACTACCACTTAATTTATTTTTAATGCTCAATTTTTTTAATTTATTGAGATCTTCATACATGGATATTGTATTGGCTGCATTTCCAACTTGGTCAGCTCCCCTGCCAACTTCTCCCAAGGCCTCCACTCCCTCTAAATTTCTTGTTGTCTTTATTATTGTTACATGTACAAACATATATTTATATATATATACTTATATACATACACGCATATACATATATATGATATATATATCATATATATATTAAAAATTCACTGAATCCACTTAGTGGTGCTCTTGTGTACATGTGTTTAGACCACTTAGGATTAGATAATTTATCAGGGAGATAGCCCCTGGGGAAAACCGATTCTTCCTTATTCATTATTCAATGATTGCCTCTAGCTATTCATTTAGAGGTTGGACCCTCTGAAAATTCCCCCAAACACATAGACATACCGACTGGTTTTGTAATTATGCAGCTCTTGTTAGGCTACCACATTGTGGCGATTTCATGGGTTCAGCTTCCTTATCCTATTATCTAGCAACAAGTGTCTTGCTCCTCTGGCTTTTCAATCTTTCCATCCCCTCTTCTACAATGTTCCCTGAACCTAGGTATAAAGGTTCATTGTAGATGTATCAATTAGGGATGGGCACACCACAGTTACTTATTCTTTGCATTTGACCAGTTGTGGAACTTTATAATAGTCTCTTTCTGTTGCGAAAAGAAGCTTTTATGAACAGTGGTAAGAGTTATACTTGTCTGTGGATATAAGGATATGTATTTAGAATACGGTGAGAAAATATGTTGATCTAGGAAAGTGGTAGTAGTAGGTTTTTCTCTGGGGTCTATGACCTTTTCAACCATGTGTACTTGAATGAATATGCAGTACCATGCATGGAATCCCTCCTACTGAATGGGACTAAGTCCAATTAGATCAATATCTAATTCTACTTGATTTTTTTAAAGAATCCTGTCTGTTACTGTGGGAAAGAGAAAGTTTTGTGGACTCATTCAAAGTCCTAATGTTAAAGATTTTTATTCTTCCAAGATTTTGGGACTTCCCACCCATGAATAATCCTACCTATTAGGATTATTTCCCTATACATACTGGTCCTCAAACTTCTGCTTGTTGTTTTCAAATTTATGCTATTGAATGACTACATTGCTGACGTCTGAACCACCTTCCACAGTCATAGTTATCTCTTTCCAAGTTCAGTATCAAGTAAATTCCCCAGCACTCCTGGCAGACTGATCAACCCGGGTGATAAATTGCAAGTTGTAGGCTGGCCTTTTTTACAGCATTGTGGCGGGAGAGGTTATACAAGAGTTGCCTCAGGAGTTTAAGCTGTTCACAAGCCATTTCCAAGGGAGAAGATCCATAAAGGATGGCCCAGAAGAGGAAATCCCATTGTTACTCCAGAAGGTCAGTGTCCTGTCCTATTGATTATTCCAGTTGCAATGCATTCAAGCCCTGCTAGCAAAGAGCTCATGACTAGCAGCTATGGTGCCATGGTACTGATTTTGAAATGAAATCACCTTGGCAGTAGTGAGAATGTGCCTAGTGATGTAGACTCATTCTGAGTTAAGGGACCAAAACTATGATTAATAATTCATATCAGATATGTTGAACAGTCAATGAAAACATCCTATTCACTTTAACAGATTTCCTCAAAACGGCTTACAACATTTGCAGTTTTCTCTCCAAATTTCTTTGGTCTACAGCAGCTATTGTAGCTCTGGGGGGCCAAGATAACATCCACTGCCACTGAGTCAAGAGAAGGAATCCCCAAGATCCCATCCAGCCCCGCCCCATGCTCAGTTTTATGCAGTGCTGGAGATTGAGCCCAGGCATGATTCATGCTAATCAAGCACTCTACCAATTCAGCTATATCCCCAAACCCCTATATGTCTTTAACAATTCTGATAAATTCATATTATCACTATTATTATTCTAGTATAAATATTTCCAACCTGTTATCAAAAGTTTTTCTTAAACTCACACTTTTATTTATTTAATTAATTAATTAATTTATTTATTTATTTATTTATTTTGGTCTTTTTGAGACAGGGTCTCTCTGCAGCCCCAGCTGCCCTGGAACTCACTATGGAGACCAGGCTGGCCTTGAACTCACAGAGATCGTCCTGCCTCTTAAAAGCTGTGACATTTCTTTCTGTGGTTGGTAAAAGAGAAACACTTGATTTGAAGTTTTCAAAAAGTATCATTTAAGTACTTACCTGGCAGGGGACATACCATGATCACAAAAGTGGTTTTCCTGGGGCAAGGCTTATCTATTGCACTCTGAAATGTGTTGACCCCTGCAATTACCCCAAATGTGGAAAACTGTATAATTTGTGGTGGGGGATTGTGTTCTTTCTCTCTTCCCTATAAGAAATAACTAAAAAGTATCTTATTTTGAAATACTTTATTGAGGTTTTGTGCATTTCGCATAATAGATTACATTCAAATTGAGACCCCCTACCCCATCCATGCTCCCAAAAGTTCCCCACCAGATTTCGTGCATTCTTTCTTATGTGTTAAGTCCTATCCAGTCAAGCATTTGTACCCAGATGTCCCTCAGTGCAAGTTCATCCACTGGCGTCTACTTAGTCTACCTAGAGTCACTCCCTTAAAGATCTACTCTCCCTCACCCTGCAGGAATCAGTTGCCAATAGTTTTTTGACTAAGATTGGGGCCTGCTGCTCATTTCCCCAGTTCTATGCTTTCCCAATTTTTGTCTGATTCAGTTCAAATGGGTCTTGTGAATGCTGTCACCATTACTGCAAGTTCATATGAGCAAGTTTCCAGTGGCCTGAAAACCTCTGCTCCCTTACGTTCGTGCACCAACACTGGCTCTTACAATCTTTCTTTTATATGCTTACAACTTGATACACTGACAACGACTGCCTGGGTTGTGAGATGTGAAGGGTTTAGGGGACCATTCCAGTGTGGGAATTCAAGGCCCAGGATAGACTAGAGATATCTGTGGTTGGCTCAAAGAGACAAACTTTGGATATACAAACTTTGGATATACATACCATCTATTTGCCATCTTTATCTTAATAGTTTTACAAAGATTTAGTATTAAATATTTTATTCAGTGACAATAAAAATAAGATTCTAGATTTTAAAATAACCAAAATACAGCTTATGGACCAATTCTATCACTTCTTATTTCTGTCAACAAAGTTTTATTAGAAGATAAACACTCATTTGCAACTCATGTATGGCTATATAATTGTTACAACAGATATGTTGAATAGTAGTAACAGAAATTAGACAACCCACAGTGCCTAGGATATTTGCTATCTGGACATCTGCGAGTAAATCAATCTATTCTCCTAATTTACATGAAATCTAAAGCTTCTTACTTGACCCATTCCTCCACAGACCTTAAACCCAAGGCTACCCCATCAGTTTTTGCTGACTCAGCCTCAGGCTTCATGTTCCCAGGTTAACTTCACAACCTAGAAGACCTTAGGTCTTTGAATTCAATATTTAACACCTGTGCATTCTCTATAGTCAAGTAGATCACTTTGTGTTCTAATCCTTTCAACCATAGAGTATCAATACATACTCCCTCCCTACCCCATTCACCCTCACTGACCTGCCATCCCAGTCTTCTAGACACCATCACCTATTTGATACCCAGATCATCCATAATAATCACAACTATAGTACTTTCTAATCAATGCTACATGGTTTGAAACAATGACCAGTTATTGTGACGATTCATATGTCCACAGGGTGCTGGACTTCCTCATAAGCCTGCAGGTGAGCCAGATTCTTTGCTTCAGGTTGGGTTTGGCTGGAGCAGTTTAGCTGTGAACAGGGTGCTGGACTTCCTCATAAGCCTGCAGGTGAGCCAGATTCTTTGCTTGGGTTTGGCTGGAGCAGTTTAGCTGTGCAGCCCTGTCCTACACCTTTTTGCTTGCATAAATGGGCTATTCTGGTGAAATTCTTGTCCTATTATACAGTAAGTGCAAAAGACCTAGCTCAGCCACTCAAATGGTTTTCAGTCTGTTAACAATTCATTGCCTAAAGTAAGTCACAAGGCCAAACCTAGAGTCAAGGTATCTCACAATGCATGTGAGTTGGTGTGATGTCAGGTAGAGTTCATTATATTCATCCAATCAGTGGATTGCTACCACTCTGGACCCCATCCTAAATGGCCACTATCCTTAACTTTTCTTGAGATAATAACATTCATTTGCAGTTATGAGATACAATACAGAGAGACATTGCATTTCATTCACCCAGCTTCCCCTAGTGGCAACAAGATTTTAAACTCTAGTATAATATCACAACCAGAATACTGACATTGAAGTAATCTACTAATTTTACTCAGAATAAGTTTTATGTGCATTCATCATGTGTGTGCATGTATGTAGCTAATAATGTACATTTTATGTGTATAGATTTGTAATGACCACTGCCATTACAATGTGTAGATATAGAACAGTGCCACGAAGGATCTATTTTTGACTAGTCTATGCTCAGCAAACTCTGCACAGGCACTCAAATCTAACCTCTGTGTAGAACTCCTTAAAAGCCTCAAACATTTGGCTCCTGTCATACGTGCATAGCCTCTACCAGACACAGGATATTTGTCTCTTTTTAAAAAATAGGTAATTGCCTGTTAAATGAGTCACTTAACTATTCTCCTCTCAAGTGACCATGGAGTGCTTATATAGTGTGTATCTTCTTACAAATCTAATAAGAGCTGTGTAAAATGAATTAGAAAGTGTCTCGCTAAAATGCTCTCAAGGAAGCCCTGCTTTGCCTATTAGATTTAAAGCTGTTTAAGAATCTGAGACGCACTGGTGAGTGAGCCCCACTTAGACATTTTCTAAAGAGAGATTGCTTCAATTTTGCTATTGGGCATCTCAGCAGTAATGGCCCTTTGTCCACACTTGTCTCAACTCTGAAATACCAATTAATGGATTATAATAACAAAGGCTTTAAGAACTAGATTGTTTTTTAATTTTTTTGAGCATTTCATACATGGATGTTATGCCTGCATAATTTCCATTGCTCCCTGCTCCCCTGAAATGCCTCCCATGCCCCCCTCTTGCTCGATTTCTTGTGCTCTTTATTGAGTATTGCTATATATACATATGTATGTATATATAATTCACTGAATTCATTTGTGGTGCTGCTTCTGTGTACCTATGTTTAGGGCCAACCACTTGGGATTAGATAACCTCTCAGGGAGCTAATAATTCTTTCTCGCACAGGATCCACTGATTGCCTCTAGCTCTGCATCTTGAGTTGGGACCCCCTGACATTCCCCAATCTACCTTGGCATGGAAACTGGTTTTCTCACTATGAAAATCTTCCTAGACTCTCGTACTGTGGAGATTTCATTGGTGCAGCTTCCCTATCATGCATTAATTAGGAGCAGGTGTCTTATCCCTCTGGCTCTTGCAATCTTTCCACCCCTTCTTCCATGATGTTCCCTGAGCCTTAAGTGTAGAGGTTGCATTGTAAATGTATCACTTAGGGCTGGGCAACTCACAGTCACTTATTCTCTGTGTTTGACCAGTTGTGGAACTTCATAATAATCTCCACCTGTTGCAAGAAGTTTCTTTGGTAAGTAGTGAGAGCTACACTTGTCTGTAAATATAAGGATATGTATTTAGAATATAGTGGGAAATTATATTGTTCCAGGAAAGTGACAGAGCAGGTCCTTCTCTGGTGTCTGTGACCTCTTCAACTAGGTGCACTAGACTATATTTGCAGTACCACATATGAATTACCTCCCACGGAGCTGACCTTATGTCCAATCATACAGCTGTTGAATAACTCCAAGATAAAAGTGCCAGTGACTGAACCAATAGAGATAGTTTGCTGGGTCCATGCTTGTTGTAGTTCATAGGCTTTACAAGTAGGAAGGACCATTGGTTGGTTTTCTCCCTTGGCAGCTTGTATAGTATCTTCTGATACTATGAGAGCTAGTCTTCAGGGAGGAGGGTTTCTGGTCAGTTCCAGCTCCACTGCTCCAAGTCCTATGTCTAAAATATGCCATGCCTTCAGGAATAGGGTCTTACTTTCAAGCTCTGGGACATAATCAAGGACTCTGGCAATAGCTTGTATTATTTTAAGAGTTTCTTGGATTATCCTGACCAACAACTCAAAGGGAAGTTTCTCTTGCTTGGCACTGGGATTTTTGTTATACATCCTTCAGCAATACACATGTACTCACCTTTACATTATATGTCTATTTCTTGGTAGGGTTATCAAATGTTACACTTTCTCTTTGGTTTTTCACATCACCAAAGCATTATTTATCTTTCTTTCCTCTCTTTCCCCCTGTATAAACCTGTCTTGTCCCTCCCCAGTTAAAGTACCCATATTTTCCCCCATTCTTCCCTTAGATAACACTGTCTCTTACTATTGCCCTCTCTTGAGCTTCGGTTCCCATCTTCCCCCATGTTCCCTTTCTATTTTCCTGGCTCCTTTGGTTACATCAGAATGCATACTCACATCTAAGGATTGGGAGCTAGGATCCACAAATGACAGAGAACATGCAATGCTTGTATTTCTGAGTCTGCATTACCTCACTTAATATAACAGCTTCTAGTTCCCTTCATTTACCTGCAAACTTCATGATTTCAGTTTTCTTTTCTGCTTACCCATAAAGATGTTTTAGACATGGAGCATTCAACAATGGACTTCAAGAGCATGGATGTCCTAGAATATATTACCAGAAGAGGTACTTTGTTTCTTTCCTCAGACTCACTTCTGACTTTGTGAATAAAGATGTCAGAAAAATGTAGTCTTGACAAGAAATACTTATGGATTGCCAGCTGGGTGCTCACCTAACATGTTGTGTTAAAGCATATGTTTTGGAGCAATGCTTTACCAACCAACCACCGCCACAGAAAGCAACACAGGGAGACTTCCATCTCTTCAAGTGGTTTACAATGTTTCTTCATCATTACAATTTTCTGGACAAGTATATCCCTTGAAGATCAATTTTTAAAGGTTATATATTCACACAGCCTAAACAGTCAAAGAGTCCTACAAGACTTGGCTTGGTGTAGAAACAGCAGGTTGGCTTAAAATCCAGGTTTCTTAAGCCTGCTAAGCCCTAGTTTCTAATTCCTTCATGTTCCTGTATTGTTTTTTGTTCTTTTGGTCTGTGAGATATTATGCCTTAAAAATGAAGCAAGACAAAACTCTTCCTTATTATTTTGGCAGCATTCTGGAAAGAGATAGACAAGTAATGATGTTTGTATTGCTTTCATGTACCCAAAAGCCAATTAAATATTCTTCTGAGCCGTTGAGTTCTGAAGACCCTCTCCTCATCAGATACCGATGTCATCTTTCTGGAAGCTACTTCAATCATTTCTTATCAAAATCATAAGGGTTCCTTGAAACAATGT